TTGTCAGTATTTTCAAAACTTTTCTTTTAACTTGGTCAGATTTAGCAGAGATGACTCTTCTAATCTTCTGCCTGCAGAGTAAGAACCTGGTTGCCAGAACTCCCAAAGTGGGGTGGGAAATGATTGATGAGGTTCCCTAACCCTATAGGTACACTCATCTTAGTTGAACACTCTTTTTTTAAAAAATATATGTTTTTTATTGATTTTTTTACAGAGAGGAAGGAAGAGGGATAGAGAGCTTGAAACATCGATGAGAGAGAAATATCAATCAGCTACCTCCTGCACACTCTCTACTGGGGTTGTGCCCGAAACCCAGGTACATGCCCTTGACCGGAATCGAACCTATGACCCTTCAGTCCGCAGGCTGATGCTCTATCCACTGAGCCAAACCGGTTAGGGCTTAGTTGGACACTCTTGACCTGCTCCATTCTTTTGTTTTTAGAATCCAACTCTCTCCAGTTTTACCTCCCATATATCTGATTATTTTTTCTCAGTCTCTTTATAGACCTCCTTTTTTATTTAGTTTTTTGTTGTTTGTTTTCTTGTCCCTTAATCTCTTCCTTGACCTCTTCTTTTGGTCAATCAGGATTTAATTATCTTCTTCTTTTAGTGGTCAGACATCTCTCTACTGTGTTTCTCTAGTTTCCCTGTCCATCTGATTTCTCCCAGGGTCTGTTGGAGTTCTGTGTATCTGTTGTCCGCCTTCATGAAGTACTAAAGGCATGTGCTGAGTACAGAATGTGACACAGAGAAATAGTCAAGGTCAGAGGTGAGAAAAATCATCAGAGCTCAAAGGCCACCAGCTGTTTCAGCAATGTTCCAGGCCTGGAGGGAGATGCTGACACAGATGGAGACGAAGCCTGGGTTCAGATGTGGCATTCCTGTGTCTTACTGCTGCTGTTCCTTACTTGTGATGTCTACTTCCATGATGTTACTCCACACCAAGGAGCCCTTTCCCAACACAAAGTAAATGGATCACTGAGTAGTGGGGGGATATTAGTTCTATACTAAAGGCTACTCTGGTCCCATATAACAAAGCTAAGAGTAAGTCTCAAAAGGATTAGACTGTTTATAAATAACTTACCTTTATCTCAGAACAAAGTTCAAAAATATTTAATAGGAAAACAAAAAATATCAAGCACCCAACAAAGTTCACAATGTCTGGCATTTAATTTTAAAAAATTACAAAAATGCACAGAACTGGGAAAATACAGCCATATGATGACTACAATCAATCAATAGAATTAAACCCAGAAATGTCAATATAAGTTAGCAACAAATTAGCTACTGAAGAATAAGAGATTAGTGCATCTGAAGACAGAGCAATAGAAACTATCCATGAAAAAAAAAAGACTGGGGGAAAAAAACATCGATATTAGATATTAGGGATATTGCAATATAAGTTCAAGCACCCTAATGTACATGTCAGTGAAAACTCTGAAGGACAGTGCAGAAGACAGAAAAACTACTTGGAGAAATAATGGCTGAAAACTACAAATTAGATAAAAATTATAAACCCATATAGATCAAAGAAACTAAAACAACAACAACCAAGTATAAGACACACGAATAAAACTACACCACATAACATGATAAATTGTTTAAAAATGGTGATATGAATATAAATGACCTGTTAATCTGCTCCACCACATCCTCTTTGGACAGAAACTGACTGAGCTAAAGACACAGTATCCCTGGAACGTTGCAGAATATGAAATTCAGTGTCTGTCCCATTCCAGACTCTTTAAATGAATTTGATCAGCCCTAAAACGGGAGATCCAGTCTCAGGTAGCACGAGCTATCACCAGATTTCATCTGAACAACCTGCCATTTACTACCCAAAACTGTTCCATTTATTTTCTTTGCCTGCCTGGCCTGGCAATCTTCTTGAATTTTAATCTATGCTCACGTCCTTTTTACTTACACAATCTATTTGAGCAGGATTTTCTGGCTTTAGTTCTCAGTGTTCTCTCCAGACCTGATTTGGTAATGTCCTCTGTCCAAACTCAGGACTTACCCCAGATAGGCCAACCACCTTTCCTACCAGTTTTCTTGTGAAAATTTTCCAGGAAATTATAAGAGTAGATCTTAAAAGTTGTCAGCACAAGAAAAAATAATTGTAACTATGTGAAGTGAAGGATGTTAACTAAACTTATTCTAGTCATCATTTTGCAATACATACATATATCAAATTGATTAGGTTATACACCTAAAATGAATACAATGTTGCATGTCAATTACATCGCAATAAACAAAAATTTCCGGAAAGAAGTTAAACTTTCTGGCCATGTGGCCAGATTCTAGGCAATGTTGGAATCCACCTCAGTGCTATGAAAATTGTATCAAGTTGAAAGTTGAGAATTCCAATTGCCTTTGTTACGTAAATCTGAAGGTTGAATTGAAATATGTTTTCACATCAAATATGCCTTATCAGAAATACCTGTCTTCTTGCTGTCTCAATCAAAATTGAGCAATAACACCCAGCTGGTGTGGCTCAGTGGTTGAGCATCGACCTATGAACCAGGAGGTCAGGGTTCCATTCTCGGTCAGGGCACACACCGGGTTTGCAGGCAAGATCCCCAGTAGGGGACATGCAGGAGGCAGCTGATCAATGATTCTCTCTCATCATTGATATATCTATCTTTCTCTCCCTCTCCCTTCCTCTTTGAAATCAACAAAAACATGTTAAAAAAATTTTTAATTGAGCAATAACTAGTAGTACTATTGACACAAATACCAATTCTACAGCAAAGCACTTTTGTATAAATAAAGTTGAATAAAATATTTTGGTACATCTTTTGTATTACTGCAAACATTAATCTTTTTAATTGCTTGCTTCTACAGTGGTCATTAAAAAATTAGCCTTCCACAAACATGGGTTCCTGATCATACTGATCTTTGTTAAAGACACTCGGACACACTTCTGCTGTATTAAAAAATACTTAAATGTCTATGTAGAGCCATGTGTGGCTTATGTGTACAACTTTACCATAAGTCAGAATGTGTGGTACAGCTTTGGTAATCCCAACAGAGGCTAAGTAAGACCAAAGCAGTTCTGGAACACAGCTTTATTTTTATGCTATAGAGGCTCAGAGTGTGAAATTACGCGGCCCCACCCACCCACATGCACCTCCCCGTGTGCTTTAAGGTATACATGCCAATGTTTACGTGTGTATTCACAGAGCTATGCAACAATTACAACAATTAATTTTAGAGCATTTTTATCATTATAAAAGAAAACCATATTTATTAGCAGTCACTCCCAATTATCCCTTAGCTGCCCCACAGCTACCCTAGCAACCACTAATCTATTTTCTGTCTCTACTAGAGACCTGGTGCATAAGATTTGTGCACTCGGGGCGGGGGGTGTCCCTCAGTCTGACCTGTGCCCTCTCACAGTCTGGGACCCCTCAGGAGATAACCACCTGCTGGCTTAGGCCTGCTCCCTGGGTCGCAGATGGCAGGCCCAGATCCCGCGCTGGGTGGCAGATGGCAGGCCCGGATGGCGGCGGGCGGGCAGCGGATTGCGCTGCCCCGCCCCGCCTGCAGTATGCAAATTTAACGGCCATCTTTGTTGGGTTAATTTGCATACTCTTCTGATTGGCTGATGGGCGTAGCAAAGGTACGGTCAATTAGCATCTTTGTCTTTTATTAGTGTAGATGGGTGAGCATTTGGACCCACAGTGGGGCAACCAGGAAGGAATGAGAAAATTAAAAATGGTTTTAATCTCAAGGAATTCATAATCTAGAGGCAAGACAAGAGTTAAGCAAAGTTGAATGAGGTAAATTAAGTACAAGCATCAGGCTAAGGGCTTGAAGAGATGAAATTTATTATGTTTGTGGCAGGAATTCAGTTCCACTAAGTAAGACAGGGAGTGAAAGGGAATGTGGGAAACCAGGGAAAATAGTCTGGGTTTCAACCAGCTGCTGATGCTGAGTTTTGAAATTCTGATGGCACTGAAGCTAAATCTATGTGATTTGTGGCTTAGTGAAAAGGTGTCTCAGTATTTCCTGTGGCCTTTGAAAACTGTTGGATCCTGAGAAGAATGCTTTCAGTTAATCTATACTGTCAGGTCAGCTTCACTGTATCATGAACATACTCAGGCCACCTCTCAAGTTGTCCAGGGAACCACACAAACCCCTATATTTCTCCTCAGAAGTTGCATGTGCAAGCCACTTAGTTTAGATTTTGTCACTTTTTTTTGAAATTATACACTTTATTATGCTTTTTATTATCATTAGTAAGAATAATAAATTGACCTTAAAAGATAGCAAAAAGGGAAAATGAATTATTTAATATATGAACCAAGTATAATAAATGTTTTTAAGTAGATTAAAAAAGAGGTGATCAATGCATAAATTGAATAAAATTACCTAGTTTGGTAAAGATGGAGATTTCTGATTTAAAATAGAAGAGTGATATACATGAAATAAAAAAGTGACATATTTTATTTTATTTTTTTCAAAAAGTGACATATTTTAAAGCTCTTTCAACATCTGATGGTTGTTTTTATTTTCTTACTCTTTTCTTTCTTTCCTTTTTAAAAGATTGATTGTAGGTGGTCAAACAAAAGGGAAATGTACAGCCCTCACAAAAACTGATTCAAAAATTTTTTTAAAGTAAACTTACTTTCAACATTTTCAATACACTTCAGTAAATATTTATGAGGGTTTCCTTTCCTCAAAACACTGTGGAAAAAAATAGTGTAATTGTGTGTAAGTAGTTTAAATGAGAATTTATATTCATTCTAAAAATGTTGATAGTGTCTTCACTTAAAAACAGAACTAAGTCCAACTTAAATATCTGTTGAACATTTACCATGTGTAAGGCACTGTGTAAGAGAAAAGATGATAAATAAAGCAAGATTTTCAAGAAATTATAACCTTCTAGAGAAGAATAAGGCAAGTATAAAAATACCTAAGTTATAAGATAAGGCAAGATATGCTTTATTAGGAAGGTACAAAGTTCTGTGCAATTTTTTTTTAAATACTGGAAAAAGTTAACAGTTTATTATAATTTATTTTATTTAACAATCTAGGAAGTTCGCAGCCATCAGCAGTTCCAGTGCAATTTCAGGTGCAATTGGGAATTCAGGAATTTCCGTGGAGCTGTTAGTGTAGCGAACCTTGTAAGTAAAATACATGCACACTTTTGATAGCACGTGTGAAGGGATCTCTCTAAAATTGACTTCATTAGTTTCATTCTCAGCAAATTGACCTGGGCCACTCAATATGGCTTTTATTGTTCCTGATGTTAATGCATGTTCTCTTTTTACAATAAATTCATGACCATCTGAAGATATCAATTTGACATACATGGCATCAGGGCCTTCACAACCACCATAGGTTTTCTCTTCTCCATCCATTATGTTCTTATGAAATTCTACTTCGCTTGCACAGGAAGTTTAGTAGTTTCTCGTCAGTCCCGCAGCCACCACAGCCACCGCAGCCACCGCAGCCACCGCGCCGGGTCCCTGCACACCTCCACAGCCCCCATGCCAGGGCCACCCTCCCACCCCCCCAAGTTCTGTGCAATTTATAGATGAAAAGATTATTATCAAGAATCAAATCTCACTGATTCAAACTACAATTTCAGATATATGCTCCCATGAAAAAAATTGTATGGTTGGGAAGATATACCACATGTAAGTACCAAGAGGAGAGAACTTTGTTTTGCTCATTGATGTATCTGTAGAGCCATGAAGATCCCTGTTATAAAGGAGTGGCTGGCCTTTATAGTGCAGGAGGCAGTAGACTAATGATGTTTCCCATCGATTTTCTCTCTATCCCCTCTCCCTTCCTTTCTCTCTAAAAATCAATTAAAACATTTTAAAAAACAACAACAAAAACAAAAACCAAAGGAAGTGCTCAATAAATATTTAAATGAATGAATAGAATTTGAAGAACAAGTTGAGTTGTCTGCCTCTGTTCTAGTTGCAACTCTTTGCAGCTGCTTGACTTGGACGTTGGAGGTAGGTTGGGCAAGCATGCCCTATTAGTTGCATTCAGGGGTTCTGTTCCTTGTAATTTTGACAAAATAGAACAAAAAAAATCACTATTGTGCTAAAGGAGAAATGTTAACTGTATGCAATGACCATAGTATAATTGGTTGCTTTTAGCAGAAGTTGGTCTGGACCTTTGATGGTTAGTATTTTTATCACCAACTCATCTATAAGTAGAGAAGGTTACAGAGCATGTGTCAGAAAGCTTAGGCCTAGCTCAGTTCTAATATTCTTGCCTTGGAAACGAGGGGAGTGCCTTCTAATCTAGGAATATGTTTCCAGGTCACCATCATGGGTCTTTTGTAACTGGCCTCCATTTTCTAATAAGCAATTGGAATGCATGAAGCCTCGTAGACGTGGGAAAATATGTGTCTTTCCAATCCTCCATTCCCACTAAACCTTTATGGATTCCTAGAAGAGGTGTTAATCTGTGACAAATCATCTCTTGCCTCACTTGTATCTTTAGATCTCTAATGATGAATTCATTCGTCAGAGACATCTTAAATAGGTACTTACCTGTTACACAGATACACAGGCACAGTCCCTGTTTTCAAGGAGGCCATAATTTAATGAGGAAGTCAAACAAGTAAATGAATAATTATGATGCATTATGATAAGTGCTATAATAGAAATGTATATAGGTCTTCCAGCTGTAACACTTTTTCTTTCATCTATGTATATAAAAGGCTAATATGCAAAGTGTCCCCTCAGTAGTTTGACTGGGAGACCAGGAGTTCCATCACTCACTATGACGTGCGCTGACCACCAGGGGGCGGTGCGGAACAAAGGAAGGCCCTGGCCAGCAGCCGGCAACTGGGGAAGGGTGGTCCCAGCCAGCAGCTGGCAGCCGGGGAAGGGACACCCTGGCTGGAAGCCAGAAGGAAGGCCCTGGCCGGCAGCCAGAAGGCCCCTATAAGCCCTGATCGCCGGCCAGGCCTAGGGACCCTACCCATGCATGAATTTCATGCACGGAGCCTCTAGTTTACTTATAAATGTACAAATTTATATATTAGAATCATAATTGCTGATAAAACCAGATTAAATATAAGGAAGCACTTATGGGTCATGAGTTAAGAAATAAATGCCCTGAGTTTAATCCCCTGTGTTGTTCAATATATGAGTTGTGACATGAGAAATACTACCTGTTCATGCCATGTCTCCTTGTTGGAACTTACCTAGCATCTACAGCTATTGTTTTAGTTTTTAATTATGTTTCACTAGGAAGTCTGGTCTAAATATATGCCTTTATATCTGTATTAAGCCCTCATGTTCTCATATTATGTTACTATCAAGTGGGATTCCTAAGTTCAGGTGATACCACTGCTTGTGAACCTGATTCTTCCTCAGTAAGAGGATCCCATCTGTGCTGATACAGGCCCTCTTTATTTTTAGGACAGTTATTGCTATGGTTACTGTGAGCCACAGCATTGGCCTTCAGTATTGTGTCCCTGAACAGTTAGTATTTCTCATGGAAATTTTGTAGCAAGAGAATAAATGAAATAAAATACTTCATACATACAGCACTAGAGGAGCTAGAATCACAAAACATTCACTTAATTGTGAATTTCATTTATTGCAAAGACTTTTAAAAAATCTTAGCTACTCAACAAGGTAAAAATGATCAATGTATTTAAAATAAGTAAATTTAGAAAGATGTTTGGTTAATTACCAAGTTAGCAGAAAAATGTAAGTTGGATGCTATTGTTTCCAAATTCAGTCTAGGAATTGAGTAATTAAAATTAGAGTAGGCGGGACATTTGCAGGGGGAGTACTAAGTGCTTTATTAAATGAGATTTAATTAGTAACTTACAAATCCTATGATTGGTAAAAATCTAAAAGCAAAATACTTCTTTTTAACCATAATGTGTTTTAAAGAGCATTGGAGCATTATTAATAATGATCTTTTCCGTTTTAAAACAGAAAATGAAACATATGACATTTCAAAATGCCACAGAATCTTCTGACTTACATCTGAGCTGTAGATAATTTTCTTATTTTGTAACGATTCTCAGAAACATGTCTATAGCAACAACCAAAATCCTTTCCAGTTAGTTTTGTAATATGTGATGACATTTCAAGAGTTACTTCTTCTTTTGGCATGTGAGATTAAACAGAAAAGTGTACAGACCTTGAGACAAGAGATTTTGTCATTTTCTAATGGCTAAAGCCATGTTTTAAATTGTTTATATGTATCAAAGGCAATTCAATAAAGTACAACATGAAATTTAATCTTTATATGAGTTCGCATTTTGAATAGCTTTATTTTTTATTATATTTTTATTGAATTTATTGGGGTTACACTGCTTAACAAAATTATATAGGTTTCAGGTGCACAATTGAATAGTTAAATTATATATAATATTTATAACATATAATAACATAACACTATATAAAATAAAATACAGGACATATTTTATATTTAACATAATACAAAAAATTAAATAAAACTCCTCTTTGCAGTAAATTCTTTCTGATAGAATTATTGGCAGCTAAATGCAATTTCCATGGAGTGTTTTAGTCTCTGAAGCTGATGTTCTGACCCAAAACAAAAATAAAAACAAAAGCAAAAAGAACTCAAAACAATCCTGTGCACTACATCTCCCTCTCTGAAAACTGATACTGAAGGTAAACCAGGACTCAACTGGAAGATTCCATTCTTATTAGCACATCTATTTGAATTTGAATATTTTGCAACTCGAGAGATTCCAATAACACATGAGGATTTTATAATGAAACTTTGTAACTAATGTTGACAACTGAGTGAGAGGCCATATAAAATAACATTTAATTTTTCTTGATAACCTACCTGGGTGTTATATAGTAAACTATACATTAAAAAAAAATACTTTAGCCCTAGCCAGTTTGGCTCAGTGGATAGAGCGTCGGCCTGCGGACTCAAGGGTCCCAGGTTTGATTCCGGCCAAGGGCATGTACCTTGGTTGCGGGCACACACCCAGTAGGGAGCGTGCAGGAGGCAGCTGATCGATGTTTCTCTCTCATCAGTGTTTCTGACTCTCTATCCCTCTCCCTTCCTCTCTGTGAAAAATCAATAAAATATATATTTAAAAAAATACTTTAAAAATCTGATGAATTCCTTAAATGCTATTTTTTAACGACACTGAATACTGTGAGGAGAAATCACATTAAACCCCAATCTTTGTCTTAACATTCTATATGTATTATGTAAATATTATCATCTATGTACACTAAGAATAAACAAATATAGAAGTTAAAGAAGACAAAGGTGAAACATTTTAAAAAAATGTTTTGCTAAACATGATGACTATATCCTATCATTAGTTAATATATCAATACACTCTCAGGGCAAGGTTCATTGTACTACTGATAGTGAATCCAAGTTCATACTTTGGTCTTCTTGATGATGATGATGGTGGTTATTATTTTTGCTTAACTTCTCTTTCGTGATTAGGTCATTGTATGTGTCTGATAATGTTCTTTTTTTTTTAATTAAATCTTTATTGTTCAGATTACATTTGTTCCTCTTTTTTTTTCCCCCCATAACTCCCCTCCTCCCAGTTCCCGCCCCCCCCTCCGCCCTCACTCCCCACCCACTGTCCTCATCCATAGGTGCACGATTTTTGTCCAGTCTCTTCCGGCATCTCCCACTCCCCTTTCTCCCCCAAGAATAGTCAGTCCATTCCCTTTCTATGTCCCTGATTCATTATAATCACCAGTTCATTCTGTACATCAGATTATTTATTCACTTGATTCTTAGATTCACTTGTTGATAGATGCATGTTTGTTGTTCACAATTTGTATCTTTACCTTTTTCTTCTTCCTCTTCTTAAAGGATACCTTTCAGCATTTCGTATAATACTGGTTTAGTGGTGATGAACTCCTTTAGCTTTTCCTTATCTGTGAAGCTCTTTATCTGACCTTCAATTCTGAATGATAGCTTTGCTGGATAAAGTAATCTTGGTTGTAGGTTCTTGGTATTCATCAATTCATCATTTTCTTGCCATTCCCTTCTGGCCTGCCAAGTTTCTATTGAGAAATCAGCTGACAGTCGTATGGGTATTCCCGTATTCCCTTTTGAGTCTCTTTCTCTTGCTGCTTTTAAGATTCTCTCTTTGTCTTTTGCTCTTGGCATTTTAATTATGATGTGTCTTGGTGTGGTCCTCTTTGGATTCCTTTTGTTTGGGGTTCTCTGCGCTTCCTGGACTTGGAAGTCTATTTCTTTCACCAGGTAGGGGAAGTTTTCTGTCATTATTTCTTCAAATAGGTTTTCAATATCTTGCCCTCTCTCTTCTTCTGGTACCCCTATAATTCTGATGTTGGTACGCTTGAAGTTGTCCCAGAGGCTCCTTACACTATCTTCGTATTTTTGGATTCTTTTTTCATTTTGCTTTTCCGGTTGGGTGTTTTTTGCTTCTTCGCATTTCAAATCTTTGACTAGATTCTTGCGCTCCTC